GGGGGGGCAGCGACCGGGCCAGCAGCCTGGGGTCCGTGTGCCGAGGCAAAGAGCAACCCCCACCAGTGCTCCTCCCTCTGGAGACCCCACCTCCCTCCTGGGAGCCCCCATCCCTCCCGCCAAGGCTGCCTACCGTTGGAGAAGGAGCCGTCAGGGATGTAGAATGCGCCCACGGTGATGCCCACGAGGACCAGGAACTTAAAGAACCAAAATCTATTGGGGGTGGGGAGGAGAGCCAGGGGGGCTAAGTGGGGGGTGGGCCCCAGAACTCCCACCCCCAAAGAGCAGGTACTGGGACAGGTGAAGAGGGACTTTCTAGTGGTCTGATGGGCACAGAAAGTCTGTCCTGGCCCTTGAAAAACCCTGAGGGGCAGAGGGAAGGACCAAGCTGGAGTGACAGTGATCACCCAGGTTCCTGCCCCAACCGTGTCACTACAGTGCTGTGTGGCCTTAGCATGTTCTTGCCCTCTCTGACTTACTCATCTGAGAAGTGGGAGCAACTAACTGAGCTGATCTCTGTGCTTTGGTGGCTCCTGAGTGGGGGCAGGGCCTGGAGCTGGAGTCGGGCAGGGGGTCCTAGCTGCGGGCAGGGGCGCCCTCACCCGTTCTGGATGGCAGCCCTGGGGTCCCGGCTGCTGCGCACGCAGAGCATGAGCAGGGTGAAGAGGAAGAAAAAGGCTGCCGTCGCAAAGCACATGCGGTAGACGGCGCGGTGGCCGAGCAGGGAGCCACAGTCGATGTGGCCCTGCAGGACGACGGGGGTCCCGGCCCCCTCCTCACACACCCACGGCAGCTGAGGGGAGAGAGAGCAGCGTGAAGGCCCCTGCCCCTGGAACCCCGGGCCGACTCTGCCAAGGCCTGCCAGGAGGGAAGCCCCCTCCTTCCCCTCCATCTGCACCCCTGCCCACCGCTGGGGCTGAACTCCTAAGAGTGAGCATCCCCTCCCCACCCAACCCGGGACAGATGGGGACACAGGGTCCAGTCACGGGTCGTTACTCTCTGCGTGTCTCCCTGCTGTCGCACCTGCAGCCTCAGGACCTCATGGCTCTGTCGAAAGCAGGGTTCCCCCTAGTGCTCTCCTCCATCACCCACATCAGAACACCCGGAGATTCTGGGGGAAAGTGAGATTCCAGGGCCCCTCTCGGAGTCTCTGAGGCGGGGGCTGAGAGTCTGCATTTATAGCACACTCCCCAGGGCATTCGTACCTTCACACACGCGCACACGTGTCAGAGCCACTGGCCCAAATGTCGCCCTGGATCTGTGCCAGGCTATGAAACGCAGAGAGGAAGGGAAGAGGGGACCCCAAACGGGGCTTGAGCACGAAGGAGGGGACAGCATGCCCCGGGGCCAGTGTCCAGGGGACAACGATGATTAGTAAGATTCTCCAAGGGAGACTTATGAGAAACCAGAACTCCCACGTGAGGTTCAAACTCTCCTCCCCACATGAAGAAACGCCCCTGTCACCAACCCGGGTCACTCCTGCCCAGCGTCCTCAGAGGGCTGGGCACCCCCAGCCTGCAGCAGCGGGGCCTTCGCTGCGGGCCAGTCCTCCAGGCCACCTCGCTCCCCTGCCTGCCCTCAGGGCCGCTCACCTTGTAGAGCTGACTCTCCACACCAGGGCTCAGCATGATGATGGACACCAGCACCCCCAGGAAGAGGAAGGCCGTGAAGATGAGGCGGGTCACGGTGGAGTTAGGACTGGAGGGACAGCAGCTGCACAGGATGCAGGGGGCAGAGCCGCAGAGGCAGGACGCCTGCAGGGGAGGGCAGGACGGCACCCTTACTCCCCCCCTCCTCTCCCCTTCCCCATCCAAGCAGGAGCACCCATGACCACCCCCCCTTCCCTGTCCCCTAATCCTGGCGGAGCCTGCCCTCCTCCTGCCAGACAGGGGCGCACCTCCTCCCCAGATATTATCCCATTTAATTTACAAGCCCCAGAGGAAAGCAAGCCTCGAAAAGGTTGGGTCACACTGTTTCTGATGCAGGGGGAAGCAGAGTGGTAAAAGATAGATAGATAGATAGATAGATAGATAGATAGATAGATAGATCCATCTAGAAGACCAGCTCTGGCCCTGATAAGCTGTGTGACCATATTTAACTCACTCAACCTCTCTGAACCTCAGTTTCCCCTTCTATAAGGTGGGAATCATAATGGTACCTACTTGTCACAGGAATTTTATTTCATTTTGTTAATGTTTAATTCATTTTTGAGAGGGAGTGAGCAGGGAGGGGACGGGGCGGGGGAGACAGAGTATCTGAAGTGGGCTCTGAGCTGACAGCAGTAAATCCGATGCGGGGCTTGAACTCACGAACTGTGAGATCATGACCTGAGCTGAAGTCCGGACACTCAACTAACTGAGTCACCACATGCCCCAGGAATTTTAAATTGTAACCTGCTCAGGCTTCCTTTCTCCGCTCCCTGCTTAGTTTCTCTCCATAGGACTTACTGTCATCTGACTGGCCTTCTATTTTATTCATGTGTGTCCCCCCCCCCCCCCCCCCCCTGTTTCTAGCACGTCAGCTCCACCAGGGCAGGGGTTGTGGTCGTCCCAGAAAGCGGGGGATAGTGCCTGGCTCACAGCAGGAGCTCAGTGACTACCTAGTGAACAAAGGCAAAGTGTCTGGCATAGCCCCAGACATATGTTAAGACCTCAAGAAACATTCAGAGAAACGCCTGCTGAATGAATGGAATGTAGAATTGTGAGTGGCTGTGATTTCCTGCTGCGGGGCGGTCTAACCCTTTCCCTCTCCCGGCTCCTCTGCCCAAGCTGGCGCCAGTCAGCCCCTGGCCTCCCTGGGACTGGCTGAAATCACTCTGGGGGCTGCTGATGTCACAGTATTCACAGCTGGCGCCCCAAAAGAAGGCTGACCCTCCTGGGAACCGGGCCCGCCACCAGATATACCTGGTCACCTGTCTATCTTCCCCCAAACAGCCCCAGCTCCTCACCCAGGCATTTAAGAGTCAACAGCAAGAAAGACACCGGCTCTGCCCTCCTACAGGAACACACTCAACGATCATTACACCTGTCCTGGTAGGTGCTGCCCTGAGAGTCACTGAGGGGGGCCCACTTTAGACGGGGGGTAGCGGGTCCCCTCCCTGAACAAGTGACATTTAAGCTGAGCTGAAGAACGAGGAGGCCCTCTCCCGACCAAGGGGAAGAAAGAGTGTTCCAGACAGAGGGAACAGAGGCAGAGGCTGCTCTGGGGCAGGCAGGAGCCGGACGATGGAGGAAGAGAAAGAGGCCGTTGTGACGGAAGCTTTGGCGAGCAGGGAGTGGCGCGGTTGGCCAGGCTGGCGGGACCCGGCAGCCATGTGCAACCTCAGAGCAGAGGGCCTCCATCAAGGGGTTAAAGCTGGGGACAGGAAAAGCCTTACGCTGCGAGACTGGCTCTACGGAGAGCAGGCTGAGAGGGACCCAGCACCCTACTTTCTGGACTGGTCATCAGACACGCAGCACACTCTGCTTGAAATGTAGCTGCCCTCCCGTCTCCCCTTCCCTTCTTCCCAAGAATAGAAACGCCCCTGGAAATGCCCCGTCACCCATCTCTCTCACCCGCACAGCCAAGTACAATGAAATGAAATACTTGCAGAATGAATTTCTTCTTCATGGTCCAAATCATAACTTGTCCAGCAACTCACGGTTACACGTTGCGGCACTCACCGCAAGCCCTGCCTCCTACCCCTGGCCACCTTCTGGGGGGTGAGGGGACAAGCAAATGCCAGAAAAGTGTTTTACAGACATAAAGAACATCCTGGCTATCAGACAGACTGGCTATTAGTCCCATTTTACAGATGAGGAAACTGAGATCAGAGAGGTTAAGAATGTGCCAGAGTCACCCGGCAAGTGGACAGCGGTGCTGAGAGCCAAGGAGTGATAGTGACAGCTATCCTTTATGAGTTATCCGCTCCCAGGCACCCTGGTAAGCAAGCACCTTACCTACATTAAGTGTCGCTGACACTATGGAGTAAGTGAGTCGTAACCTCCCACGTACAAATGGGGAAAATGACTCAGACAGGCGACACGACCGAGGTCATACATAGCAAGTAAGCTGAGGACCTGGGGTTTGAGCTCATGTCCGTCTGTACCAAGGGCTCACTAGCTCATCAATGGCAGTCTCATTTAATGTCAAAACAGTCCCTCCAATGCCAGAAAAAGCCAACGGAGGCCCACAAGCACTGATCTCGGGAGCCAGAAGTTGAGGTGCCCGAGTCAGAGCCTGGCTCTGGCTTGTTACCATCTCCGTTTGAGACCTAAGAAAAGCTTCCCCACTGCAATCGGGGAAGGGGGAGGGGGCTTGGCCTTTCGATTCACTCTAATTCTGGGAGATCAAAATCCAGGTGTTGCTGACACTCGAAACCTCGGAATTTTCCCAGGGCCGGCAGCCAGACAGACCAGACCGGGGAGAGAAAGACACACACCAGCCGCCACCACCAGCGGCTTTCTGGTGGGTTCTTGGGCACCTTGCAATCAATTGTTCCTACATTCTGACCGGGTCACTCCACCTCCAGCATCGCTCCTACAAGAACCTCTTCCTACAGAGCTACCAGCTCACGCGAGCGAGGGCAGACACGTGCATACACGCAGACACGTGCATACACGCATACACGCGCGCACATGCAAGACCATCGCGGCACTGTTCACACAAGGAAAGGACTAGGGGAAAACTGAAAAGAACTAAATGCCCATCAAGACATCGTGGTCCTCCCCTAAGAGGGATTCTCTGCTGAATGCAGCAGATGCATAGATGATACTTAAGTGGGTACGTGTAGCTAAACAGAAGTCAATATAAATTATGCCTCAATAAAGTTGATTTTATTACTAAAGAAGAAAACTTTTAAATGAAGACAAGGGGCGCCTGGTTAAGCGTCCGACTTCAGCTCAGGTCATGATCTTGCAGTCCGTGAGTTCAAGCCCGGAGTTGGGCTCTGTGCTGACAGCTCAGAGCCTGGAGCCTGCTTGGGATTCTGTGTCTGCCTCTCTCTCTGCCCCTCCCCGGCTCTCAAAAGTAAACAAACGTTAAAAAAATGTTTTAAATTAAGACAAAAATAAAATGGACGCAAAGTTTTAGGTTTTACGGGCCTATGAGAATCTCAAAAGACTGCAAATAACCTAAATGTCCTGCACCAGGGGCCAGGGGTGGTCCATTTACTCCAAGGACCGTAACAGGGGCAGGAAAGAAAAAAGTCACCGGGCTGCAGAGCAACACGGACCAACATGTATGATGCAATGTGAGAAGCCAAGGCAGCCACGGAACTGCTCCTGTGCTACGATTACAAACCCCCTCCCCCAAATGCACTCAGGGGAACCGCAGCAAAAGAGAGGCACCAGAACACTGGCTGTGTCCTAGCAGCAGCCGGGTCCTCGGGAAGGGGAATCAGGTAGCCCCGCGTCTCAGCATTTTCAGGCTGCAGGGCTCCTTGGCATTCAACTGGTCCAGACTTTCTAATGAAGAATCACCCGGAAGGTAGCCCCTGCCGTTAAACACTGCCAACAACGAGGAGCTCACCTCACTACTTGAGGAGCTCAAGTCATCGTCTCATGGTTTGTGGGTTTGAGCCCCACGTCAGGCTCTGTGCTGACAGCTGGGAGCCTGGAGTCTACTTCGGATTCTGTGTGTGTGTGTGTGTGTGTGTGTGTGTGTCTCTCTCTCTCTCTCCCTCTCTGCCCCTCCCCTACTTTTGTGCTCTGTCTCTCAAAAACAAACAAACATTAAAAAAAAATAAAGCTGTATTGTTTAAAACCAACTGGCCCTCCACTTCTGGGTATTAGTCAAAAGCAAGGACTCAAACAGGTATCTGCACACTCAAGTTTATAATAGCGTTATTCACAACAGTCAAAAGGTGGAAGTCAACCAAGTATCCGTGGACCACGAAACGCGGTCTATCCATACAGTGGAATATTACTGAGCCTTAAAAGGGAAGGAAGCTCTACACATGCTACGACACAGAAGAACCTTGAGGACATTACAGTGAGTGACACAAAGCAGAAAGACAGAGAGCAGACTGGGGGGTTACCAGAGGCTGGGGAGAGGGAGGTGGGGATTATTACTGAATGGGCAGAGAGTTTTCAATTTGGGAAGATTAAAAAGTTCTGGAGATGGAGGGCTGGCAGCACAACAATGTGAACTGAACCCCCACACTTAAAAATGGCTACACTGGTCAGTTTCATGTGATGTGGATTTCACCACAAGAAGGAAAAAGGAGGGGGCAGTTTTCAAAGAAGAGTGAGCACTTAGCTAGGTGGGGAAGGGAAAGGTGTTCCTACAAGGGGATTGGCACCTGCTAAGCTGTGAGAAACACTGTTGCTTCGGGGCAGCTGGCAAGAGAGGCTACAGGGGTGACGGAAGTGACGGCCAAGGTCCCTGCGGGCAGTGCCAGGGAGTCTGCACTTTATCCTGAAAGCCATGAGCAAGACTGGTGCGGAGGAAGCAGAGCATCAGATCTGCATTACAGAAATGTCACTTTGGGCACAGACGGAAGACAGACGGAGGGGGTGGTGGGCGGTACCTCTGGGAACAGGGCGAGAGCGCTGGTGGAACAGATTCCAAAAGGGAAGGAAGACAGATCCCAGAGTTTTTGTTGTGTGCTTTAACCCACGATATTTCCCCCTCTTGTTCATCTGGGATGGTATCATTTCGATATCATAAAAACAGACCTCCATTTTAAATATATATACCATGTTTCCTAAGATAAATTACAAGCTCCTTGAAAACCAAAAAATAAAAGGTTAAAATGCAATCTTTTTAAGAAAAAAAAATTTTTGTTTAATGTTTATTTATTTCTGAGAGCGAAAGAGCACGAGTGGGGTAGGGGCAGAGAGAGAGAGAGGGAGACACAGAATCCGAAGCAGGCTCCAGGCTCTGAGCTGTCAGCACAGAGCCCGACGCGGGGCTCGAACTCACATGACTGTACGATCATGACCTGAGCTGGAGTCAGACCCTTAACTGAGCCACGCACAGACGCCCCGTTAAGATTTTATTCTTAAGTAATCTCTACACCCAACCTGGGGCTCAAACTCACAACCCCGAGATCAAGAGTTGCATGTTCTTCACTCATATGAGGACTTTAAGAGACAAAACAGATGAACATAAGGGAAGGGAAGCAAAAATAATATAAAAATAGGGAGGGGGACAAAACATAAAAGACTCTTAAATATAGAGAACAAACAGAGGGTGGCTAGAGGGGTGGTGGGAGGAGGGATGGACTAAATGGGGAAGGGGCATTAAGGAATCTGTTCCTGAGATCATTGTTGCTCCATATGCTAACTAACTTGGATGTAAATTAAACAATAAATAAATTTAAAAAAAAAAAGACTACAGACTGAGCCAGCCGGGCACCCCTAAAATGGTAAATTTTATGTTATGGATATTTTGCCACAATGATACAAAAAACTGGTCCCAGCAAGGATGGGATGCACCTTGTAGACTTCTTGAACAGCCCCATTACTGGCTGAGCCAACCTAGGACTAGACGAAATACAAGAGAGAAGAGATCAGCCCCCAAAACACTCAGTGCATGCTCACTTCCCCCTGCAGCACTAAGAGTAATAGCCTTTTCCCCACCGTGGAACTCAGTTTCCTCTGCCATAAAATGGGCTCCTGTGGGCAGGACGGTGAAGTGGCTCAGACAGAGCCCAGGCTCTACAATCAGACAGCCGGGATGTCACGGGCTTGACCACTTCCTCGAATGTGGTCTTGAGCATTTTACCACCCTGGGGTGCTTCGAGTAGCCACTGCAGGCCAGCCTCCTGCTAAATATACTGGCGTGTTCATCTCAGTTCCATTTAATCGTCCCAACTGAGAGAGGCCCCACTGTCCTCCCCACTTTCTAATCTCTCAGCCCCAGGGAGAGGGGACCAGTGACTGCCCACGGTCACACAAGCAGAGGAGATGGAGGGGCCGAAGTCACTGCCCTCACCAGGATCTGAGTCCCATAGTCTGACCCCTTCCTGCTCCCTCACACGTACAGGGCAGAGAATTAGATTCTACGGCAGGCAGATATTCAAGGAGGCCCTCCCGAAACATTCGGCCGTGTGCTGGCTTGCCCTGTGACTCCCATCCTGTTGTGCGCCCATCTTTATTTTATTTTATGTATTTTAGAGAGAGAGTGAGAGAGAGGACGAGCAGGGGAGAGGGGCAAAGGGAGAAAGAGAGAATCCCGTTGTGGGACCATCTTATCTTCTCTGAGCCAGGACTCATGCTCGGCCCAATACAAATGCTGACCGAAGGGCATGATGGGCAGATGCAAATACGTCAAGGCTAGGAGTCTTCTCCAGGATCCTCAGACTCCAGAATGTTCCAAAGATGCCCAGGAGCCCCCTGTTAGAACTTTGCTCCTATGGGGCAAATCTCCATTGAAACAGGTTGTTATCAGTGTCCAGTCACACCCAACTGCACCGCTTAATACTGTGTGGCTGTGGAGAAATCACCTTCCCTCTCTGATCCAGTTTCATCATTTGTGAGAATGATTAACTACCTCACTGGGGTCACTGTGAGGACTGAATGACGGGATACATATATAGTGCTCACTGCAGTGCTGGCCTGTGCCACCACTGGACAGCGCCTGGACCAGGAAATCAGATTTTAATCTTGACTGTGCGGTTCCCTATCCGTTCACTGTGCAACCTTTGGAAAGTCAGCTAACCTCTCTGAGCCGCAGTTCTCTTCATCTGCGTGTTGAGGGTTCGAGCAAACCTGTCATGTGGCTTCTGGTCTCAGCCTTGTCGGATTCTGTGACTCAGTGACCAGCTTAGGCTCCAGAGGGAAGTCTCCACCCACCTTTCCAAGATGATAATAACAATAGCTCCACTCACTATTGGCCAGGAACTGGGTGGGGCACTTTTCAATCTTCCTCAAATGGCATTATGAAGGAGGCGGAGAGACCAGGCACAGGGGATTGGCAGGTCGCCCCTCAACGGGTGCCACTCCCAAGCTAGCGCAGCCAAATGGAAATCTGGTCAACTTGGAGGAAGCTCTCCCTCCCCCACCAGGAAGCAAACCCCTCTTGGCCACCGAGAGCCAGCCCAAACCTAGAATTCACTGGGCAGAAAGGGATCTCGGGGACCAGCTCTTGATTCTGCACATGTGCGCCCACACAGACTTCACAGGTGGGTAAATGGAGGCCCAGAGAGGACAGGGACTGTCCAGAGACCCACTCTACAGCTTTTCTGTGCAGATATCACTCTCAGAAAACGGTTGTGAAGTAAATCGCTAGATCCCTAAGTTGCCACCCTTACATCCCATCCTAACGCACACACAAATCAGGGACAAAGGAAAGCAAGTCCTGAGATTCAGCAGCCACCAGACCCCCCTCTTCCTCTCTGTTCCTCTTTGTGTAGGGCAGAGGAGGAGGGAGCTGCCTGAATGAACCTCGGGTTTAATGAGGGGAAGAGGGAAAGGAGAGGGGGCTGGGAAGAGGGAAAGGAGAAGGGGCCTCCCAGCCGGGGTCTGGCTGAAGCTCCTCCCCTTTGCTGGCTGCGGGGCCCCAAAGCAGAGGCTGGCTGCCCCCCACCCCAGGTCCCTGGGCCCAGGCGCCCAGGTACTCCCCCCAGTCTCTCAATTCCTGGGTTTTCCAACCCAGAGTTGGGCCCGGTGGCGGTGACAAACCAAAACGACCTCACTCAGGGGTGGCTTAGAAAGGCGGATGGGGGCTTCCTCCCCACCCGCATTTCAGGCTATGGGGCCCAGAGTGGGAAGGGGCTGGGGTTCCTTGGGGAACTGCCCGGCACTTAGCGTGAACCAGGCTGAATGAGGCAGAGACGGACGCAGAGAGACAGAACTGGACGGTAGGACAGACGGACAGACACCCGTGAGACAATAACCGATGGAGCAGCCACGGGCGGACAAAGACAGTCGGATAAACGAACGGACAGGAACAGATGTCAGACAAATACACATGGACAAACTGAGGCAGGCGGGCAGGGCGACAGGCTGACGGACGGACTGCCGGAGGGACAGAGAAAGACACACCGCAGAGAGGGGCAGGGACCAGGCGGGCCACACAAAGAATCATAATGTCCGAGAGGGAGACGAGGGGCGCCCCGCGAGGAAGTTGGGCCAGCGGGGGCCGCGGCGCGCACCCCCACCCCGGGCTCTGGGCCTCAGTGTCCCCAGTCCCCGGGAGGGGCGCCCGCCCAAGGCCCTCCCCTCCCCCCGCAACCCCGGCGTGCCCCAACCCCTCCCCCCGGCGGTAACCCGAGCCCCGGACACCAGCTGTCCCCGGCGCCCGCGGGTCCGGGATGGGGGTGGGGGGACCGAGGGACACGGGGACCCGAGGGGCGAGGTGGCGGGGTGCGGGCCCCGAAAGACAAGTTTGGAGGAAGGAAAAAGAAGAAACTATTTGGAGGAAGACGACGGGACAAAAGTGCGGGGCCAAAGAAGGAGCCGGCGGCGCGCGGGCGGGCTCGGGGCTCGGGACTCACGCAGCTGAGCAGGGAGCAGGCGCCCAGGCAGGCCCCCATGGCGGCGGCTCGGGGCGCGGGGCGCGGGGCGCCGGCGGCGGGTTCGCTGGGGCTCCGGACGCCCGGTCCTGGCCCCGCCCCCGCCCCGCCCCGGCCGG